CCCGTGCCCACCGCCGATCTCACGCGAGACCACCCGTCCCTGCCCGACTCGCCGGGTGATGATCCTCTTCTCATGACCGGCCCCAACACCTACATCCTCTACCACAACCAGACTCCCATCGCAAAACATCGAGGCGCTCCACAACCTTCTGGCGGCCTCGTCCAGCCTTCGGATCGCGATGACCAGTCCATGGCGATGTCTACGCCCGTCGTGCCTGCTTCGTCACGCCGAGACAGGTCCTCTTCTGCCGCGTCGAGCGACCGCGCATCACTCTACTCCCGCATGTCTGGACGTCCTGCAGACGACACCTCCATGCAAGTCGCTAACGATGACGACGACGAGAACCACATCGCTGCGGATCCAAGCACACATGCTGCAGGAGCTCCCCTCAGCGATGCAGACGACCAGAGCCACGCTGGACTTATGGCGCATGACGATGCTGGATTCGATTCCGACTCGGATCAAGGCGACCTTGACGCCATGCAAGCTCACAACACCTCTACAATGCTGCCACACGAGGAAGCCGACGGGGAAGACGAGAGCATCGGCGTAAGCGGCGACATCTCGTCCATGAGCGACGTCTCGCGCAGCTTTGCCGACGAATCGGCTGCAGATGTGCACGCCGACATCACCCGTGCGCCCAGCGAGCAAGATCTCGCTGTCGACACTTCAGCCAGCTCAGAGGAACTTTCGGACGTCAATGCAGACCATGCTGGAGATGATCAAGATGACCCCTCCATGGTCGAGGATGCAGAGACCAGCATCGTGGCAGCCGACATGAGCGTCGCCATCGAGGAGGACGACGATGCGGGTCCGGCAGGAACCTCCCTCGACGAGCAAGACGTCAGCATCGCAGCTCCTAACCTGAGTACCTCCGTCGAGGAAGCGGTCGATGTCCAGTCTGCCGAGCGGTCTCAAGACGAACAAAGAGCCAATGCTGATGCCTCGCAGAGCATCGACCGAGACGCCTCGGCAGACGGCAATGTCGATGCTTTGGCAGACGCCAGCA